TGTTCAGTTTTTATAGCTAAGGATTGCAAATTTAAAACAAAGTTTCTCATAAATAGTTCATACTGTAACCAAAAAATCTAAAAAATATATCAACACAGTTATTTTTTACAGACTTTTTAAATTCAAATTTGGACGAAATTACATATTAAAAAACCTAGAATAACTATTTTACTTATTTGTTGTGAATGTATAATATTATTCGTGGGTACTTGAAACTTCTAAAGTGTACTATTACATATATCTATGATAGTATCACGATTTTTGTTGATGTATAACGCGTTATAAGTACCTAATGGATATTGTGATATGATTAATTTGGAATTTATTATAGGTACCTTATTATAGATATGTATATAATATTATAATATGTCTTATACCTAGACTGACATACCGTCTCGGGTCTCCTCTCAGAATCGTTTTTCTTATACAATGATATTGTATCGTTGAATTCAAATTTAATATCATCCATTATACAGTGACCCACTTGTAACCTACTGTACAGCAGAGCGACACCCACTTGCCCACCTTTTTTCTTATATTATTATTAATTATTCCGATATCGTAATAATTAGTTTTTTTATCATACTCAAATAGTTCGATTATTCAAGTAATACGGCTCATTGAATCGGTTTACAGCAAAACTACCTATTATAAAAATTGTAGAGACGAATTTTTTTAACAATCTTAAGAAGACCGTTTTTCGATATTTTTATTAATTAGTTGAATAATTAATGGATAAAAAGTTAAAAACCGTGTTAGTTTACCATGTGATATTGGACGATTAGAATACGATATCAAAAAACGGATTTCTTACAATTGTTAAAAAAATTGTCCTCTACAATTTTTATAATAGGTAGTTTTGTTGTAAGTCGCTTCAATACGCCGTATTACTTGAAGAACAAAAGTATAGTTTTTATTAGTATAAAATTCGGATACGAATAGAAAATATAAAACCGAACCAAATTAAATAATATTTGTCACAAATATAATAATCATTTTCTTATCTGGTTATTTATAAACTATGTACAGGCGCACGGCTGCGATAGCAAACCTGTTTTGACCATGGTGCGGCACTGCCGTTACGCGCGCGGGGTGGTGGTATGAACACCTAGTATCGAGCACTGCCGCTGGCTGTAACGGGCGCAGCACATGACGGGCGTAATTAAACGTTTTTTTACCGAAAAACATGGTTTCGTACTTCCAGGAATACGGCTTATTGAACCGTTTTACAGTATAAATACCTATTACAAAAATTGTAGAGGAGAATTTTTTCTAGAAACGTAAGAAGCCCGATTTTTGATATCTTGTTCCAATCGTCCAATATCGCATGGTAAATAAACACGTTTTTTTAAACTTTTTATCAATTAATTATTTAACTAATTAATAAAAATATCGAAAATCGGACTTCTTACGTTTCTAGAAAAAATTCTCCTCTACAATTTTTGTAATAGGTATTTATACCGTAAAACGCTTCAATAAGCCGTATTCCTGGAAGTACGAAACCATGTTTTTATGCCATATTTTGTCTACTGTGACATCCTCTTAACAACAAAATGACCCTTTTTTAGGTTATTTAAGATTCCACTAGCCTCAACACAGTTAAAATCATTATTTTCTTCAACTTCAGTATCTAAAACTTCTAAAATAGAACCATAATATTGTTTTACCATATCACAATTTTCAAAACGACATGCCCACCTTGTATCACTTATCTGCATAATTTCTCTTGGTTTAATGCCTAATTGTTTTTGTATATTTATTAGTTTGTGATGAGAAGATGGTCTAGAAAAATGAATATACAAGGACTCTAGTGTATTAAAAAATAAAACTGAGCTTTTTACATGTTTACACATTCCTACTATAACTAAATTTAGTTTATGTGCAACACAATGGAAAAAAATTGCTTCTGGATGAAATTCTCTAATTTTTTTTTGAACTCCGTTTATATGGCCTGCCATTACACTAGCGCCATCGTACGATTGACCTATCATAGGCACTTGATCAATATTTAGAGTTTTTAAACTTTCAAGTATGGTATTTGAAATACCAGCTGCAGATCTTGAAGTAGAGCATAAAACAAAAGACAAAAACCGTTCTTGAACCACCATATGTTTTGTGTATCTTACACAGATAGTAAGTTGTTCTTCTTTGAATGACCTGGCTTCATCGCACATTAAAGCATACATTCCACATTCTGTTATTTCTTGTACTATTTGTGACCTCACCAAACCAGCTGTTATACTTATTAAATCATTTTGAACTAAAGGACATGTGTAATTAAAATATGATGTTTCCATTTTACTAGCAAATGATGGATTATAAGTTGCTAACATACCACATATTTCTTTGAAATTACCTTGATTAAGGGATTCTTTGTTTTCAGTATGACCTCTGAAGCTTAAGCCCTGATGTGCTAAAAATAAGACTGCATCAATTATCATAAGCATGTATTTACGATTCTTTTCGACTTCTTCTTTGTAAGCATTAGACATTTGTACATGTACATTACCAGTTTTTTTAGTATTCTGATAATCTTTGTATTTTGCCAAACTAAAAAGATGATATGAACTCTTGCTATGCTTATTTAATTTTTCTGAAATTTTTTTCCAATCTTTAAAACCACTTTTAGTGAAAACTTCTTCAGAATTTGAGCTAGTACCAAAGTTACAGCAATAAAAACAGAAGACTAAATCTTTGTTTTGGCTGTATTCTATCCATGTATAATCTTTGTAGTATTTAGATGAAAATGAACGGTTTTGCTTACCAAATAGTTTTTTTGGAAATGACACAAGTAAAGGTTGATGTGGTTGACTGTCTTTATCAGCAAGTTCAAACTCAATGTCACCATTGTTGCTCGTAACTAAATAAAATAATTATAAAACAATTAACTCATGTGATAAGTGATGGTGACTTAATTAGAGCATATATAATTATAGTAAGAATTATTAAAATTTAACATATTTTGTTACCATCATTATCTGGATCATCTGGATCATCTGGTTCATCTTCATTATTATTAGGAATAAGTACACTTGGTTGATCTGAACGTTTAAGCCAAGTTTTTAACCTAATCAAACAAATATACATATACTAATTATAATATTATTACTTTTTAAGTAATACAAATGCAGTAACCATACTAACTTATATTATTATTATTATAAACATAAATATATTAAATGTAAAAACTAGTACTTACATTGTAATTTTGTAAATATGCGACAATGAAGACAATGAAGCTATTCAAAAGGTTTGAACTAGACGTGTCTCATTTCAACTTCAACTGTTAAGTGTTCGTTATTTAAAATTTAATATGATAATAGTTCTCTTCTTATCATTTTATCAGTATTATCACCATGCCAATTTCGCGCTTAACCAATTATTATATGATAGATAAGAGATATAGAATTTTTCGGTAGCAGTCATAGACCTTTTACTAGGTCTATGGTAGCAGTCACCACGAACTATGCAGTCACGGCTATGCAGTCGTGGAATCTGGTGATAAAAATCACGGTTTCTTATCTATTTCAGTGCGGCCATCTAAGATTTCTTGAAATATTATTGTATTGGCTACAACTGAAGTTATTACACTAGTTAAAATTTACAGAATATAAATACATTTTTTGATATAACTAAAATTGGTTGGGGGGGCTATTCAAGCAACTTGGGGGGGCTTAGCCCCCCTAGCCCCCCCTTAAATACGCCCCTGCGCATTAGTAAATTTATTGCTTATCTTTAGATAATCGTCATTCGTCGTCCGCCGATAGCGTAGTTTGTCTATAATCACACGATACGTACCTATGTGTATTTTTAACGTGCGGTAAGAAATACTATGGAATGGTGCATAAGACGTTTTGACATCCCCACGTGATCATATTGATACTCGTATGTTTTGATTAGAGTTTAGTATCGTTTAAGCTGCAGTAATACATGTATTATATTTTGCCGATCATTAATTACATTAGTCTATAGCGTGTATTATTCCGTGCGAAAAATATGAGTTCTTCTTTACTAAATTGGGTAAATAAACGTTCTAAGTCCAATGATGAATGTGATAATTCGCCAAATAACGCATTAAAAGAAATAAAGAACAAAATGTCGTATAAAAATGTAATATTACACAGTGGCAAAGTTCCTAAAATAAATTCTGCACAATTTTACAAAAGCCTAGCTAATAATTCAGTCGACATTCAGCTGATGATACCGCAAGTCGTAAAAGAAACCAAAAGTGTGATAAGACCTACGAATCACTGTGGAGGTTATTGTAAAAAAATTGTATTGACGCTGTACCTTTTTTAGTTATAAATAAAGAATTTAAATAAATATAAGTTTTTAAGTAGTTCTTTTATATTTATATTTTTATTTTATAAAATATATACATATTCGTAAGTAAGTAAAAGAAGGTAAAAATATATTTAAATTTTTAAAAGAGCTGAAAATATAATGTGAGTTTCATAAAATAATAGACACAACTTATTTATTATTAAAAAAGGGTTAGTAATTTTGGTTGGGTGAAGCCCCCAATTATATGGTATGTACTCAAAAAAAGCGTTCCGGTTCAGAAAATTTTCCATTTCGAGCACTGATATTAAGGTAATTATAATTTAAGTATTTGTATTACGTGTATAATGCATTGTATTACAATGATTATTAATTTGTAATTCATTATTAGCTTCTTTTACATTCTTAAATTCGGTTAACATTTTGCATAATTGAAATACGTGTTATTACGTATATAATATATAATTTATATAAACTCAATGTTTATAGTATAATACTGTGTATTACACAGTGTACATTAAGTAAAAATGTATAGTTTTCTTACCTTGTATAATTGAATCGATTTTGTTTTAATGTTTTAAATAGTTACTTAAATAAAACATTTTATTGTAATTATAATATTAAATAAACATATTACCTAGGTATTTTAAACTTGATTAATTTACTCAGACCCATAATAGTTGTATTGTTATAAGTTTTTATTGTCTCTAGGTCTTAAAATGTCCAGACGACGGTTAAATACCATTTTAAAGTTAGCTGCAAATACAAGTGAAGAAAATGTCAATGCAATGCCTACACTGGTTACCAGCCCTCAAAATAAAGATGTTCCTGTTGACTTACCTATATTGACCTATGAAGATATCATGAATTCTGAAATTATATTTGAATATACTGAAAATAATATTAAAGATTTTCCAGATTTTGAAACTGTATCTACTTCTCAGGTAACTAATATAGCTTCAACTAGCCAACAATCTTGTTATGAAAATTCAATAGTTGTAAGTGCTGATAGTTCTGTAAACAATGTTGAAGAAAATGATATAAACTTGTTTACTGATTGTTTCATTAATGATACACTAGTGACAATGGATGATGATATAGAAAATGAGATTTTAGTAAATTCAAATGGTGAATCAAATCTAGTGAACTGTGATAAAAAAACTAAAACCCGTAGTGTGCGTTCAGAAAAGATTAAATGGAAGAGAGAAACTACAAAGAATAATAGAATGAATGGAGAAATATATACTGGGTATAAAAGAAATGGTAAGGTAGTTGAACATAATTCTATAAAAGCTGCTGGATCTATGAAAAAATCTTGTACATCTAAAAGATGTGAAAAATTACCAAATAGACATTGCCAAGAGTTTGAGGAAAGTAGAAGGTTGGAGATTTTTAAGAAGTTTTGGAGTGCAACCTGGGAAGAAAAAAAAATGTTTGTGATTTATATGGTATCAAAAATGTTAACTAAAGCAAATACAACAGGACTCGGGAGTTTAAGCAGAAGGGCAAATACTTACAAATATTTCTTGAAGCATGATCATTTTGAAGAACCTTTACAAGTTTGTAAATTGATGTTTTTAAACACACTTGGCCTTAATGAGTGGATGTTACATAACTGGGTAAGAAATGCTACTCATGGACTACCTGGAAAATTATTAAGTCCAAAAAGTTTGAAACTAAAAGAAAATGTCGGTGATAGTAATTTAATTACCAGTTCACCTAAGAGAGTTGGATTATCAAAAAGAATCGATCACCTTCAGTTATGGTTTTCTAGCATACCAAAAATGCCTTCTCACTATTGCAGGCAAAAAACAAATAGATTGTATCTAGAAGGGCCATTTTATAATAAGCAACAAGTTTTTGAAGCATATAAACAAAAATGTATTGATAATAATCTGGTTCCATTAAGTATCTGCTATGTTTATAATTTTATGAGAGAAAAAAAATTATCTATATTTGTTCCACGTAAAGATAAATGTGACACATGTTCTTCTTATGAAATGGGAAACATTGATGAGAATGTAATGGCTGAACATGTAGCATTTAAAAATAGAGCAAGAGAAGAAATGAATTTAGATAAGCAACTAGCAATAAATGAAAACAAATTTTACATGTTTACAATGGACTGTCAAACTGTCAAATTGTGTCCTACCTTAACAGCTAGTGCTCTATATTATTCCACAAAACTGAAGGTACACAACATGACCTTCTACAATATGTTTACAGGCCACTGCAAAAATTATTGGTGGCATGAAGGGGATGGTGACCTGGAAGCTTCAATATTTGTGTCTATTCTTTTATGTCATTTAGAGAATTATTGTATGAGTGACAAAAAACCTATAATAATCTATTCTGATGGTTGCGGCTACCAAAATAGAAATAAGGTTATGGCTAATGCTCTTCTTCATTTTTCTATCAAACACCAAGTTTTTATTGAACAAAAATTCCTTATTAAAGGTCATACTCAAATTACTTGTGACAGTGCACATTGCTTGATTGAAAAAAACCTTAAAGGTAAAGATATTTATTTACCTTCTGATTTTATCAGAATTACAAAAGAAGCTAGAAAAAACCCATCTTCTTTTGAAGCAACTCTATTAAGCTATGACTTTTTTTCAAACTACAAATCACATCAGGTTTATAATTCCATAAGACCTGGAAGAGCAAAAGATGACCCCGAAGTTAAGGATCTAAGAGCAATTCAATATAATCCTGAAAGTCAGCGCATTTTTTATAAATTAATGTTTGATGAACCCTACACCGTATTGCCTATAGGAAGAAAATGTGATAAAATTAATCCAGATGTGCAATATGACAAACTGTATAAAAAACCCATCCCCATAAATTTATCAAAATGTCAAGATTTACAGAAACTGAAAAAATTTTTACCTCAAGATACTCATCCGTTTTATGACAATTTGAGTCATTCTGATACATACAAGTCAAGAAATGGTAATATATAATATTTTATTATCAAACTTTATTTTAAATATTTAAATTGTATCCTTATAATAAAGAAATCCTAAGACTGGAATCATGTTTTATAAAGTTCATTAATTTTTATTTTTTGTTTTATATATTTTAAGTACAATATTGTTACTACAATTCTATTTTATAACCAAACTTTATTAACAACTATTTCTAGTTATTTTAAATATTTAAATTTTATCCTCATTATTTACTAAGGAAATCCTAAGACTGGAATCATGTTTTATAAAATTCATTAATTTTTATTTTTTGTTATTACTTATTTTAGTACAACATATTGTTACTATAATTCTATTTAATAAAAAAATTGTATGACATTTTTTTATAGTTATTTTAAATATTATAATATCTAAGTTTAATTATTAAGTTCTACAAAATTAATCCAAAGACTGGAGTTATATTTTATAAAATCTATTAATGTATATTTATCTTTTTTTATTATTATATTGTTACAACAGTATTACTTCAACTATTATATAAAATGTATTTTCATTTTTTAGTTATTTTTAATGTAATAATATTTAAAGTTTGTTAATAATTAATGTTTACAAAAAAAAAATCCAAAGACTGGATTCATATTTTATGAAATCTATTATTTAATTGTTTGTTATTATTTTATTGAAACTATAACTGTCAATAAAAAAGTTATGAGAGTTCATTTTTTATAATAATATAAACGAACTTTATCAAAAAATGTTTTCTCTATTTCAGTTACGTGGTCTTGATAGTATTATTTTATGATAATATATTATGTTTTTTTTTGGTGATAACATGTATCTCTAAGTATCAATAACACATATCTTATTGTGATGTGGCTAATAGCACGTAAGTGGATTTTCCAGTAAATAATACTCTTTTTTTAATTTTTAGTTAAAAAAAACGATGTAGGAATACTTAAATTAACAGATTACATTTTTAATCTGGTCGACTTAGTATTAATTACCAATTAATTCAGTTTATTGTCTCTCCTGAAAAGTAGAAAAAATGCGATACGTGTTATTGCTGTTAAGGTAACGATATGATTAATTTTGGAATTTATTATAGGTACCTACCTATTATAGGTCAAATTTTGGTTTAGTACCATAGATATGTATAATGTATATCGATGGCGTAGCGCACAAGTGTGATTAGGGTTATGTTATGTATTAGGTTATGTCAAAGGGCATAATAGGGCACTGGGATCTATACTTCCCATAACGGGAAAAAAATGTTTACTCTTTGTGGTTTATTACTATTTACTTATCGATTGCACTGAATTAATCTTCGATATATTGTGCGCAATTTTTATATAAGGTTTACCTATGATAAGAGCAACACAATCGTCAGAAATAATCGCAATCGATATCAATGGGATGATATATTCCCATTGCCCATACCATGTATTTAATTTATCATAACTGTTTTATTTTTCAAATTTTATATTAGTTTTTAAATATTATCAAATATTATAAGTAACCAGTGGTAACAACGGTTATGTTATAACAATCAATACAATTCCCGCTATTTGTTGGTGTTATCACTTAAATTACCCGCTAAAAATTAATATGATAAAAGTGATAATCAAAATATTTTTTTATTATCAAGCAAATAAACATGTTATTTTAAAACAGTCAAAATGTATTCAAACTTCACCTCAAAATCATTAATGTAAGTATCTTTCAATCAACCATAATATGTAGTTTTAGAAAATATAAAAACTTAGTATTTGTTATTATCCACTAAGAAAATATTTATAGTTTTATACCAATATATTGTTGTAATTCTGTAATATATTAATATATTATATGATATGTATTCCATGTATAATTTCTCTATGGTTACAAAATAAACTTATAACCATTTAATTTTTTGGGAAAAATATGTAGATGCCTCGTGGTCTTACTGAAGAAGACATCATATTTCAATTAAATAGTATATCTGACTCAATGGCATTTGATTCAGATGAAGGAGGCGATTCGGATGCAGAAGATTTCCATCTTAATGTAAAATCAACACCAACTGCAATAAAACCTGTTGACACATCTTTTTTTCGAGTTCCAGCTCATAAAATAACATCTACTTTAAAAGGTTGGTATATTGGTTTTGTATTATATAATTTATTAAAAAATAGATTTTACATTCCAAGATGCAGATCCTAATAATGTCAAGTCAACACCGAATACACTAGAACCTGTTCACAGTCCATCTTTTTTGAGAGTTCCACCAAAAATTAATTTAGAAGCTTCTACTTCAGAAGGTTGGTATATTAGTTTTGTTTTATATAATTTACATTCCAAGAGTAGGGACCTATATTATATAGTATTGTGTATTTGTATATTACATACAAATTATAAAACATATAATATGTACTGATTACATCATATTCAATCAGATTCTATATTTATTAGGTATTAGAACGTACATAGTATATAGATATTCAGATAGGTTGAGTACCTACTAACACACATGCATATAACTAAAAATAATACATCACTATAATGTATTTTTGTTATAAGTAAAATGTTTTAAATGTAAAATATCTCAAAAACATTTTTACCTTTTATCTTTTTTAATTATGATACTTTTTATTGATTGAATACTATTTAATTTAAAATTTAAATACTTGTATAACCAATATGAGTAAACACCATATTAAAATGATTGATTAAATTTAAAAAAAAAAACTAGAACTTATAATATAAAGGTTAAGTTTATATTAATTTGATAAATTATATTTTATGCATAGTAAAATATTTTATTTGTTTATTACAATGAAATTAATTGAAAACATACCAAAGTATATCTATTTTTAAAATAAAATTAATAGTTTATATTTATATTAATTTTAGAGCAATATGACAATAATTCTGGCAATCAAAGCTCAATAGAAACAAATAGGGACTTGATTAAAGACTTTGACCAGGCATTTCCAGATTATGTTTTTGATTTTGATTTCATTGGTGGAAATGATGAATTTGAAAATGATAATAATATATTATGTAATATAATTGATATTGATGATGATGATCAATTATTGACAAGTGAAGTTTGTGAAGAAGAAGATGGTGGTGGTAATTTTAGTGAATATAATAATTTTACTAAAATAGGATGTTCTCCTACAGTTTTCAAAAACTGTCGTTTTAGAGAAATCCAAGGACCTATAGATAAAAATATTTATAAATTACAACCAATTGACATTTTTTTAATGATAATGGAACCAATGTTTGAAACAATTGTTGAAGAATCCAATTTATATGCTACTCAACACAATGCTAATTTAAATACAAATGTTGATGAAATTAAAGCATTTATCGGTATGCTCATTTATATGGGTTATCATTCCCTTCCGAGTATAAGGCTTTATTGGTCAACTGACCAAAACTTTTATTGCGAAAGAATAGCCAAAATAATGCCTGTAAAGAGATTTTTGAAACTTCTTCGTTATCTTCACCTAAACAATAATTTAAATATGCCACAAAGAGATTCTCCACATTTTGACAAACTTTATAAAATCCGTCCACTCATATCTCATTTGCAACATAAATATCTATCTATATTTAAACCATCTAGGCATGTAGCTGTAGATGAAAGTATGGTGCCATTTAAAGGACGTTCTACCATGAAGCAGTACATGCCAAATAAGCCGATAAAACGAGGGTTTAAAATTTGGGCATTGGCTGATACAGCTAGTGGATTTTTGCTAAATTTTGATGTGTACACTGGGAAAAAGACTGACGGTAAACCAGAATTCGGTTTAGGTGAAAATGTTGTTTTAAACCTATGTGGAAATTTAAAAAACTTATATTATTGTGTTTATTTTGATAACTTTTTCACAAGTATACCTTTGATATCAAAACTTTTAGAATATAGAATTTTTGCTTGTGGCACATTCAGAACGAACAAAAAGTTTTATCCTAAAAACCTAATGAAGAAAGATAATAAATATGCTTCTGGAGATATAGAGTATGCTCAATGCAATGATATAAGTGTTATGCGCTGGAAAGACAGAGGTTCTAAGCCAGTTACACTGATAAGCAATATGCATAATGCAGCAGAACATTGTGTTGTACTTAGACGAAATTCTAAAGGTGAAAAAGTTCCTGTTTCCTGTCCAACTGGTATATCTGATTACAATAGATATATGGGCGGAGTAGACAAATTCGATCAATATATGGCTGCTTACACTATATCACAAAAATCTCGTAGATGGTGGATCAAATTGTTTTACTATTTTATTGATACTGCAATTGTCAATTCTTATATCTTGTACAAAGAGAGTTGTAATAAAGCAAAAAAAAAATATGTTTCACAGTTGGAATATAGATCAATGCTTACAGATACCTTAGTCAATAATTTTAGCTGTAGAAAAAAAACTACTGTATCTCCACAAGAAAAAGGTGCAAAAAAAAAATTTAAACAATCTGCTGTTGAACATGTACCAAAGTATATACAATCATATAGACGTTGTAAGTTGTGCAGTATGAGAAAAAAAGAAAAACGATCTAATATGATGTGCATTACCTGTGATGTAGTATTATGTAAAGACTGCTATGGACCCTATCATAAAACTGATTAATTGTTATTTTTAAACTATACAGTGTTAGTATATACATTTTATGCTGATGAGTTTTTCTATTTTTAAAATTTTACTTATTTGTTATAATGTTTAGAATGTATTATAAACGAAACCAAAAGACTGGTAGTTTAATTTCAAGTTGAAATTTATACTAATTTTATGATAATTTTATATAATTATTCATATTAGAATTTTATGCTAATGAGTTTTTCTAATTTTAAATTTTACTTATTTGTTATATTGTTTAGAATGTATTAGAAACGAAACCAAAAGACTGGTAGTTTAATTTCAAGTTGAAATTGATACTAATTTTATGATAATTTTATATAAGTATTCATATTAGAATGTTATGCTAATGAGTTTTTCTATTTTTAAATTTTACTTATTTGTTATATTGTTTAGAATGTATTAGAAACGAAA